GTTGAGTACAAAATGTGGTACACATGAATGTAAAACAACGAACATCTAAGGCCAATCGACTGCGTCTGGTTATTCTAAAAAGTAATCAATTGCTTGTGTTGGACAGCAGTCCAATTATTATGTGGGAATGGAGAAAAATTGCACGAACCGAACAGTGGGACGGATCACACCGTGCACGACGTGACTAGCAAAAGCACGAACAACATAGTCGGCACTTGGTACAGGGGCGCCGGCAGGTCATCACCACTTGGTAACAAAGGGCCGCCTGGACTTGTGAGCAGCCCAGGACTTCGCCGGTGCAGGGGCAAGCCAAGGAGCGTCGGCGGCGAGGATTGTATTGTGAGAAGACGAGGACGGTGCCGGCGCAGGGGCAAGCGAAGGCGCGTCGGCGGCGAGGATGGTAACGTTGAGCTTCATGCCCATAGCGCAGTGGCTGCCTACAGCGCAGACGAACCACCTCCGCCCGGCGCTGGCGAGTTGGACCTGATCGCTGCCGGAGTTCCAGGCGCCGAGGCCCTTGGCGCTGTTGCACGCCCTGAAGTCCGGCCCGCTCACCTCCACCACGTTATGGTTGGCCTTGTTGTACTTGAACACTGCAAGAGCGTGGCAACCCTTGGTCATGACATGATCAAGAAACTGAAAGATTTCGTGGGCAAACAGAGCATGAATCCGAAGGAGATGTGGAGTTGACTGAGCACCTAGTACGTCGCCGACCCTGAACTGGTTGCTCTCGGACCAGGCGGTGTAGTCGAACCCGAGGGTCCACCCACTACCGTCACCTACGACGTGGACGGTGGCGGAGGCGAGCAAGGGGAGGAAGGCGATCGCCGCCGCCGCCGCCATGACAAACATCGCATTGGAAGCCATGGAGTCGAGCACTCTAACTCAAACTGAAACTAGCTCTTTGGTTCCTTGTAGGTACAGTACTGAACTGAGCGATGGGTGTGAGGAGAACGAGTGCTCGGACATGGTTATATAGAGAGACGGATCTTGCCCGATTTCACGTACTACGTACGTACGTGCGGGAGAAATAGTCAAAACGGCATCGTGGGATCTCTGCATTGGAGCGACCAATGGAAGGAATGGATGCATCGATCATAACAAAGCAGAGAAAGTTTAGTTTAGTCTGACGCGGTCTCTGGCTGGCTTCGTTTCCAGCTCTTTGTCCACCTGTGCTCTTGCTTTGTGTACATGACGTGCCTGCCTGGTGCCGGCGTACACCGCCGCTCCCTACTCGATCGGCCGGAGCCGCACTACATGTTGAGTATAATCTCCGTTGTTATCATCTCTGTTTTTTCTTTACACAATAGCTAGACGTAAGTTGCGTGGATGTATAATTTGGGTCAGTTGGATTTCGAGTGAAGGAATTAAACCCTTTAACGGTCGCGCAATGTGCACATCCTGGCGACGTCCACGTCATCACAAAGAGACGATCCAGGTACTGTTCGGTCGCTGCGCTGTGAGAGCATCTCCAGCCGTTGGCCCCCCAAGAGGCGTCAAAAAGCGCCGCCTGGGGGTGAGCCGGCGCAAAAAATGGCCCTGGGGGCGAGTCGGTCCCCAGCCGTCGGCCCCCATGCGCGTATTAAAAAAAAGAAGGACCGTTCGGCGAAGTTATAATAAAAACTAGTTAAATTTCGGCCAAACATGGCAAATTTCAGCGAAATTCGCGCATTTTCATTACATTAACCTAATCTAAAAAAAAGAAAGGGGCTAAAGTCGTTGCCACCGTCACCGCCATCGTCGTCGTCGGCCTTCTCCTCCTTGACGCGGGCGCCCCTACTGGACCCCTGCCCGGCATCGCCATGGCGGACTGGCGGCGGCGCGTCGCCGTCGTCGTCGCTGTCGCATAAGACGATGACCCCGCCTTCATCGCGGCCGCGTCGGCGCTCCTCGAAGCGGCGTAGGGCGGCGCACTGGCGCTCCTTCTCCTTCTCCCGGCGCGTCTTCTTCATCGCAATGGAGTCCTGGCGCGCCCATTCTAGGGCCGCGTCGTCGTCCTCGAACTCCGCCTTTACCGGCGCCAGCCCCGGCTCCGCCTTCACCGGCGCCAGCCCCGGCTCCGTCTTTGGCTTGACGAAGCGCGGAGGAGCCGACGAGGGGGAGGCGCGCCGGCCGCCCTCGTTGATGACGATGCCAGCGTTGCGAGTGCGCCGACCGAGCGGTGTCTCTGCCGCGGGCTCGGCCTTGACGCCGAGCAGGGCCGGAGTGCCGGAGGAGTGCGCGAGGATCGGGAGGAAGAAGAGGAGGAGGAGGACCCGAACCTCCTTGGCGCCCACGGCCCGGCGCGTCGGTGCTGCGTCGGGGCGGCCACCCTCGCCGAGGGGTATGCCAACGGCGGGTCGTTGCCGCCCTCGAGGTACGTGAGGCCGCCCTCGAGTGTGCGGCCGGGGACGCCCCACCACAGGTGGCGTCCCTCGCTGTTCTGCCGGCCGCCGACCACCGGCGCGCCGTTGGTGGACGCCAAGCGCTACTGCTGGCGGCGCTCGAAATACGCCGCCCATGCCGCGTGGTTGTCGGCGACGTACTGGGGGAGGGAGAGTTGCGCGTCGGTGAGGGAGGCGCGCACGACCTCGACTTCCTCGGCGAAGTACTTCGGCTTCGCCGCGGCGTCGGGCAACGGGGGAATGGGCAGTCCCCCGACGCTGAGTCTCCACCCCGTCGGCCCGGCGCGCATGTCCGGCGGCGCCGGGATGTTCGCCTGGAACAGGAGCCAGGACTCCTGTTCGCGGAGCGAACGGCGGCCGAAGCCGTTGGCCGCCGCCTCGTCTCCGGGGAAGCGTTCTGCCATGGCGACGGTGGGGCTGGGCGGGCTCGGGAGAGGTAGAGGGAGGGGCTGGGCGGCGGCGCTCGAGAGAGGTAGGGAGAGGGAGGGGCTGGACGGCGGCGAGGGGCGGGGCTGGTGTGGGCACAGGCGAGTGGAGGCCATCGGCTTTTATAGCCGCGCCGCACTCGTGTGTACGCGTGCGAGGGAGGGGAGGCGTCGGCGCGCCGTCCCGTGACGCACCGCCCGTGAGGAATCAATGGCAAGGTTGACCGGCGGCAGCCTTGTCATTGATTCCCCGCGGGAACCGAGGCCGTTGGGGGAAGACGAGTCGCTGACGCGGCTGGCCCGCGGCTTTTTCGCGCCAAAACAGCTTGCCCCGGCGCTCCCGGGCGCCCCCCAGCGCGCCGGGTTCGGCCTGGGTCTGCCGGCGCTGTTTTCGGCCCAAGCCGGCGAAAATCGGGCTCCTGGGGATACGACTGAGCCGTTTTTTGGCGCCGGCGTGAAAAAATCGCCTGGGGAGGCCTTCCTGGGAGCGCGGCCGGAGATGCCCTGAGGTCGTTGTGATTGGGCAAGAGAGAAGCTGAGAAGAGTACGCACGGGATTGGCTGTTGGAGGTGCATGCGGTTACGCCTGGTCGGGTCGCTACATGTGGCCCTTTTTGTTTGCTGGCCCGCATGTCAATTGCCGGCTTTCTGTGCTCGTGAGTTGGGGAGAGATCGCTTACCAGCGAAGGCAACCGAGGTGAATACATCGAGCCCCACAACCACTCATCGCTCCCTGTGCAGCTTCCTCCTCCCTTCCCTCGTGCTCCTCCCCCTCGATCTTGCGGCCTGGACAGCGCCGCCGCTCCTCTCATTCACGGCTCCCACCTCCCACCTCCTCGGCCTGGGCTGTGCGACCTCCCGGTGGTCACCAGTGGATAAGAGGCCGCCGAAAGATGAGACGCCATGCGGGAGGAAGAAGCCGTCATCGACCGACGGAGGGGCATATGTTGAGGGGAAGGGCCGCGAGCACGGGCAGAAGCCGACGCCCGCCAGCAGCGGCAGGCTGGATCTGGACGGCGTGCTCGTGGCGCCAATCACCATCTGGGTGATCAGGGCCGATGGGTTCATCTGCTCCCACCTCCCGCGCAAAGCTCATGGCCGAGACTCCGTACTCCGTCCTCGCTGTCGACGTCTAATGCTACAAGATCCGCGGCCCCGTCGATCGACCCCCGCACCACGTCGCCGGCCGCATCTCCTTCCACTACGTCAACGCCAAGAACGACTCCTGCCTGGTGGGTCTCATTAAGGTGTCTGATCTGGTGCGCCCCTCCCCACCTCCTCTCCCTTCCCCGCTCACTCCTGTCCCCTAATGGCAGATTGGTCTGCGAAATTTTGTTGTTGTCTCTTTTAGTGTTCTTGAGCTTGCTTTACTTATTTAGGTTTGGATGGTAGGAGAAAAACTGGGTGAAGGCATTGGTAATACAAAGAAAGAAGCATTGCATCAGGCTGCAGAAATATCTTTAAGAAATTTTCCAATTAAGTTTGTTTTGTTGCATGTTTGTATTAACCTCTCCAGTTTCGTTTTTGCGGATATAAGATAATATGTTATGTAATCAAGAGATTCATTTTAAATTTGGAGTGTTGACATGTTTACTCGAAGCATATATGCTGTACCGTGTGGAGTTTTCTCTTTTCAGCACCATCTATCTTGGAATTAGATCGGATAGTGTGAGAATATAATGATGACTATTTCTTGATAGGTACTTGCTGCATGATTTTTCCAGTGCATGTCCAAGTTTACATGTGAAAGCGTCTTGCTTGATTCCGTTCTACTGGTTCATTGGATGAATAAACTCACATCTTTCATGGCCAAACTATCAGCCGATGTTTCTAATAATTCAGTTTTTGTCATTGCAGGAGATTATGGAGTGTAATTCTTCAGATGTGCAAATCCCGCAGCCAATCTTGCTGAAACTATCATTGTGAGATTTACTTTATTTCGTTGGCTGTGTTCATTTGGAATTTCTGAAGCTGAGATTTAATCATGTTTCTGGGATTCTTAAGTATTTGGCTCAAGCTGGTCATGAACTGAATGTTGATGTGGGCAAAGTGGAAATGCATAAGGCTTAAAAGATCATCTACAAAATTACTTTTGCGTAAAGATCACTGTCGGTTTACTTGAGTGGGCTCATCCAATGTCAGGTTCGCCGTCTTCTGTACCTCGAACGAGTGCATTTTGTTGATGTTATTACAAAAGTTTTATTTGTACTAGAAATAATATATCATTACCAAGTTAACAATGATCGTCATAGCTTATCGGGGTTCAGAGAGCTGTTTTAGGCCGAAGTTTTCTTTATAGCAGGCCACGTCATTAGCCATACATTTCAGGCCAATCAAATGGTTTGGACATGGGATCCTGGAAAGTGCAGCGCCGTGGTTAGTACAGGGAGGTTGGGAATATGTGCTCGCGGGTCTTAACTAATTGCAATTCTGGTTATCGACACTACATTTAACTAATTGTAATTCTGGTTATCGAGACTACATTTAATTCTGCCATAATGGTTAGTTAGCAGAATTAACATCTGACTAGGAGATTGCATATGGAGCTGGGGTGAGGTTGCATGTCACTCTTTGTTGGAAACTAATAAGCTATACCATGTCCAAGATTAGAAGATCAAATAAGGAGCTATGCTCAAGTTTCACCGTTTAGAGTGTAAATTTGTTTGTTCTGTTAGTCTCGCACGGACAATATTGTTTGGTTTATACTTTATACTATGGTTACTTGAAAAGTTGCTCTTCGTCTTTCCAAATACTACTCCCTCCGTCATATAATGTAAGACATTTTTGGACACTACATTAAGGTCAAAAAATGTCCTATATTATGAGACAAAAGGGAGTAGATGATAAGATAACTTGAAAGCCCATATCTTGGTACCTCTTAATACATATGAATTAATAATCAAGCCAAAAATGATGCTTCTTTTGTCGAATGTCTATGAGTTTCTGAGCTCAATCTAGAAATTTGACAATGTAATTTCTGCATTTTTCAGCGAGGAAGTGGGTGGCTATGCATGCTTCCAAACTAATAGTTGTTTTCATGTAATCTAGATTGTACCAAA